GGGTCACAGTCCTCAGCCAAGTCATGGGGCGCCCCTGCTCCCAGCTCTCAAGCCCCCAGCCCTGCCCATCTCCTGTGGGCACTCTGGCTAGCAGCCAGGCTATTCCTCCCTCCCGTCTGGGGTCAGCTGAGCCATCGCGAGTACAGGACAGCCAGTGGGCAAGTTTCCCATCCCCTCCTTTCCCGAGTCAGATGGAATCAGGCCTGAATGGTGTAATCCTACACATGCTAGCTTGACACCTGCCTCCTCCCCGCACCCTTTTACACCATCCAAATTGCGGGGGTGTTTTTTGAGAGTGCTGGTTGGTGATGATGTGCTGTGGAGTTGGTTCCGACTCACAGCGACCCTGTCCTGTGAGGCTGTAAGTCTTTACGGGAACAGAAAGCCTCATCTTTCTACCATGGAGCAGCTGATAGATTTGAACTGCTGACCTTGTGGCTAATAGCCCAGCTCGTAACCACTAAGCCACCAGGGCTCCTTCCCAGGTTCTGTGTCTATGGTTCCTACAGCGAGGATGGAAATCTCTGATTTGAGGAGAGACATGTGAGTCATCATTCTGGTAAACACTCTAACCACACGCATGCACTGCTGGGCACCGCCTCCGCATGCTGCAGGGGCAATATCTGCCAGTTTAACTGTGAGAACTTTCTGCAAAGTTATGCCAGCCTCTCGCAAGCCCTTCTCTGGCGATTTCATCAGGAGTGCCTTCCGATCTCTGGGTGCTCCACCGATCCTCTGAGAACCTTACCACCCACTTTTCCAAAACAACGGGACCGGAGAGGCCTTGCACTGGATTTCCAGTTTTAGATTGTACATTTCTTTGAAGACAATTTTCAGAAGCAAGAGATTCTGGGGTTTGTTTGAAGCAAAGGTATGCGGCATCCAATAAGACATGATTAAGGATAGAAACCACATTACGGGATGGGGGACGCTGTCCCCCAAATTTAAGGGAATTCGTGAACTTTCTGCAACTTGCTCTTTAGGATGTGCCTGTGTGCTCCGCTCCTGGGGTATTTACAATTACCCACCATTAGGAGACCCAGGGGCCTATGGATAAGACTGGGCTAGCTTCTTAATTAAAGGTTCACCATATTTTATTCACCGGCTCCATGGCAACCAATATTTTCGAATGTCACCGTAATGTGATCGGAGATGGTCACTTCGGATGGGCCAGTCTTGGTTTCCTTGGAAATTGGATTCTTTGGGGCTCAGTAATAATTGTCACCATAGGAGTACCTCGTGGCTGCCGTATTCTGCACTCAACTGGGTGACTGAAGCCTTCACACGGCCCAGGCGCAGCTGTGGTCGCCCCTCCTCAGACCAGAGGTTTCTCCCACATTACTGTCTCAGGCGCCTCCCTCTCCCCGTCTAGGACATGTGACTAGGGCATGTGACAGCGTTTCAGGGGACATGAGAACAGTTAAGGGTTATGTATGCTCTAGTTAGGGAACCAAACCCAACCCACTGCCACAGAGCTGCTTCTGACTCATTTGTTGTTATTAAGTGCCGTCGAGTCGGTTCTGACTCACAGTGACCCTGTCTAGTTTCCTTGTTGTTGTTGTTAAGTGCCCTCGAGTCAGTTCCAACTCATAACGGCCCTGTACAGGGTTTCCAAGGCTAAAAATCTTTATGGGAGCAGAAAGTCTCATCTTTCTCCAGTGGAGCAGCTGGTAGTTTCGAACTGCTGACCTTACGGTTCACAGACCGATTCGTAACCACTGCGCTACCATAGTTTCCTTAGGCAACTCCAAAAGCTGCTTCCCCCTCCACTTTGTATTTTCTCTTACATTCTTTTCAGCCAGTATTGTTGTTAAACAGCATCGAGTCAGTTCCAACTCTTAGCCACTCTGCATAGGATTTCTGAGGAACAGCTGGTGGGTTTGAACTGCCAACCTTGGGGTTCGAAGTCCAATGCTGATCCTACAAACCCAACACCAGGAGTCCATCACAGGGTAACAAAATCAAAGTAACCATCTAAAAATCAAAAGTTTCACTTCTCATGTCCCTTGTTTTTTTCTCTTATAAAACCTCAGGTTTCGTTGAGTCTGGAGCCATTGCAATGAACCCCGCTCCAGATGCCAACTACAAAACTCACACGGGTACCATGTCTGACTTCCCCTGGCTTCGCAAGGATTAAGGAGAATCACACTCAAATTCAGCCCAAGGCCAATTCTTATGACGGGAAGGTCAGACAGGCTTCACCCTACAACCTTCTTTACCCAAGCGTCCCTCACACACAGCACTCTGCTTCACATCTGGGTCCCATGATCCATTGCAGTGACCACCCAGACCTCACAGTAATACTCCTGAATATGGAGTTATTAGGGAAGTGAACAGGGTACACCTCAGGATCCAGACCAACGCAGGACGCAGCGTTCTCCAGTTAGGAACGTCTCCTATCTGCTGTACTGCAGACATGTGGTCCCTGGGCCTCTGCCCTGCACGGACAAGTGTCACCAGGCTTCTTTACCCGTCTGTGAAGGCCCAAAGGGCACATTCTATACAAGCCAGCCTCTGCCCATCGGCACTCTGCTTCACTCAGTCCACAGGCCTCGGGCCCACAGCTGTTCTGGCACCACGCCACCCTCCCTGTTGTCACCCTTTCTAGGTGGGGGTCTCACACTCCTCTCATGCTCTTGCTTCCTGATGGTCCTGGGATCATCTGTTTCTACTTCGAGATGGTGCCTTTTAATCTAGCAGGACGGCAAAACTAGCCAATCCCAGCCTTAGAGTCCTGTACATGGACGCACCCAGTCATGTGGCGCTGTGAGTAAATGCGCTGAACAAGGTCAGCGGTTTGAACTCACCAGCCATGCCTTGGAACTGACGTGACAGTACTTAACAACAACACCACACACAGACAGGAGCTTGCTGGCTCCACAAAACACTGACTGTGAACCACAAGGTCTGCAGTTGGAGCTTGTCAGCTGCTCTGTGGAGAAAGATGAGGTGTTCTGCTCCTGCGAAGATTTAAAGCTTCAGAAACCCTATACAGGGTCGCTACGAGCCAGAACTGACTCTACAGCACTGAATGTACCCATTAGCTGGACAGTGAAAAAGGAAGAAGACAGAAGAAGAATGCATGCATATGAATTTCGGTGTTGTTGATGGAAACTGAATACAAAGATCAAACACATCGTCTTAGAAGAAAAACACCCAGACTCCTTAGAACCAAGGACTTGGATTAGGTCTTCAAGGAAGACCGATGTTTAGAAAAGGAGGCCAAGTTTGGTGAAGTAGAGGGTCCGTGAAAACAAGGGAAACCCTCCACGAGCTGGAGCCAGCCACACAGTGGACATACCAATGGCCCTGGACATGGGCAGGACCAGACAATGTCCAGTTCTTCTATTCATAAATTCTCCATGAGCAGGAGCCCACTCAACGGTGATGAACAACAGCAAGTGTTCAAACTGAAGGAAACCTTAGGTGCCACGGACCCGTCGTCTTTGCTCAGACGAACCCACTACCACATAACTCAGTCCTTACCAAGTCAGGACGTGAATCCCACTATCAGTGACGTCAATATTGGCATGCACATGTTTGCTGCTGTTCGTGGGAACTTAAGGCTCAAGTTTCACACTGAGATCGGGCAGCACAATGGCTGAGGAGATAAAACTGGAGTAGCAAGAGAGGGTGGAGACACTGGTTCCAAATGAAGATGATGCCAAGGAGACCCTGTGGGGCAGCTCTGCTTTGTCACCCAGGGCCTTAGGAGTTGGAACCACCCAAGGCACTCAATAGCAGAAGCCTCTTCTACCTGAAGGGTGGTCCGTGTCGTATGTGATCAAAGATGAGGACAGAGAAAGGACAGGTGGTGGGCAGCGGCTGCAGGAGCCAGTCACACAACGAGCCGTTGTTACCTAGGGTCCACTGTGCCTACCTGGTTCTCTGCCACTCGGGATGTCTCCTGAGGGCACACGTTTGCTTAGGTCCCTATCAGCAGCAGGTGCGTTAGCAGGAACGAGACTTGCAGCAGGAAATGGAATGGGGTCCTAGCGCCACTCCGTAAGCCGGTCTCTGTCATCAGACTTCCTAAATCAACACTGGCTCGTCACCTCACACCACCGAGGGAGGGAGCCATAGCCACAGCTGTGTTCTGGAATGTGGGTCAGTGGACAATCGGTCTGTGCACAAATGCCCGTTGGTCATGTCCCTACAAATACACGTTACTCATTTTCCTATTTAAATGTCCAGCACCAACCCCAACAAATGGGGGCTGTGGGCATGGCGAGGGCAGGGCCTGTGGGGGACTATTGCTGGCTCCCAGGACAACTTCCGAAAGCAAAGACCGTGGAGAAGAAAAATGTAAAATGGAATTTGAGCTGAGTTAATAAAATACATACTTAATACAAGCCTAGAGGGGACTATGTGTCATTAGTTTTATATGCCTGAAACCTTCACAGTTGCTTAGAAACAGAATGTTCATAAACCTTTTAGAATAACATCTTCTAAAATATCTTGCATTTCTCTCTCCAGAGATATAATATTTACTGGTTACCACCCTTCGTCTCCCTTCCCCGCCAAATGAAAGTTGAATGCTAAAGTTTCCAGTGGTGTCCGTTCCTGGTTTTCTCTCACTATTGATATTTAGAACTTACTAGAAGCAGCAGCTTTGTGATCTGCCGCCTCAGACTGGTCAAATCAAAGCCCACCAGTGGTGCTGTGGTCAAGGGTGGGCTGCAAAGTGCAAGGTCAGCGGTTCAAACCTCAGGAGACCAAAGAAGCTGTCAGCTCCCACAAAGACTGGCTGTCTTGGAAACCTGCTACAGTTTCCGAGATGGGCCAGTGACCAATCTGTCCATAAAAAGATGCCGGACATCAGGAAACCGCAAGCCACACGGCGATGAGACCCCCATCCTGGCTGACGGGCACGGAAGCCCCAGATAGCAGTCTGGCAGCTCCGCTCGACGCTGAGCACCGAGTTTCGACTCCTTGCAAACACCAAGAGGAACCTAGAAACCAGAGCCACAGATGCCCCCTCTGGGTGGGGCCGTACTTACTGAGGTTCCACTTGAGGCCTGTCGTGGTCACTTGGCTGCAGGGTTCTCCAATGGGAATAAGGCCACACCAGTCCCCTTCCAGTCCCGTGTCCACGTGTAGTCTGTGTCTGCCCTGTAGGAGAAGAAGCCATCAGGAAGGGGAAGGAGAGGGGAGGGGCATGCCATAGGCACCTTTGGAGGAATCCTGACTCCAGACTCCCCAGGGCACTTGCACACTTCTGACTTTACATGAGGAGCCTGCTGTACCAATGGCCCAGCACTCGGATGCTAACCTAGAGGTTGTCAGTTCAAACACACCCAGAGGCTCTGAGAGAGAACGGCTTGGAGGACCCCAGCCTAGAAGACACGATCAGGGAGGTCTACTCAATCCCGTGGGGTCGCCAGGTGTCAGCGTGGACTTGATGGTACACATGGCATTATGGAACATCAATGTCTCTACCTGCACGTGGAGACGCCATGTGAGAAGTACCTCCACTTGTAAGCACAGGACTCCACGATGCTTCTTCCCTCATGACTTGCAAACCAAGCTTAGCAGGAGAAACACAGACTACGAATGGACCATGGGCACCCACTTTTGGGAGCGAGGGCAGGTAGCATGTGTGGACATGAACCAAGCAGCATGTCTGCTCCTGCTTACGTAATTAGCACACACACAGACACAGTCAAGACACCTTACTAATATGTCTGCACAGGTAGAGAGAATGGGACTGGTACGGGGAGCCTGCCAGTCAGTCACTCATCAAGCACTCGGCCTGTCGGTGAGGGCCTCTGCCCGGAGTGGACATGGCAGTGGACCGAGTGCTGTGGACGGCTCCTGTTCTGAGTCTATGAAACCCCAGGACCGCACCACACAGAGTGAACCCAATGGAGCCGCAGGCGCCAGGTAACCATGAGGTATCGGTCTTGTAAGGTTCACGTTACAGTAACAGGCACGCTGTACTTTCTACACCCCTTTTCTGTAAACCTACAACTCTAAACCGTGAAAGTCCCATGGACTGCTAGAAGAAGGAATAAACCTGTGTTGGAAGACAACCAGAATGCTCCTTGGAAGCCAGGATGGTGAGACTTCGTCGCTCATACTTGGACATATTGTCAGGAGGGACCAGTCCCTGGAGAAGGACAGCATGATTGGTAAAGTGGAGGGTCAGCGAAAAAGAGGAAGACCCTCAACAAGATGGAGTGGCACAGTGGCAGCGTAGCAGTAATTGTGAGGTTGGCGCAGGACAGGGCAGTGTTCCGTTCTGTTGTGCATAAGGTTGCTATGAGTTGGAATCAATTCAACAACAATTTATTTAAACAATTCTCAAGGACCTTTAGATTTCTCAGTCCTTCAATGTGGCGAGGCTAGACACAATGTCAGAGGACAGTACCCCCCAACATCTGGAGCAAGCAGCTGCTTCTCGGATTCCATTACAGCCTTATCGACACTCACACACTCACAAAAATCCCACAAAACAACAACTCATTTTAATGTTGTTTAAGCCAGAAGCCACACAAAATTCTCCCCTGTAGATAGATTTACATGACATAGCCCTCCACTCCATTTCTGCCTTCTACCCTCCGTTATAAAAACCATCCTCTCAGTAGACAGGGATGCCAGACATACCAACAAATGAACACCCACAGACCCCAAACAGAACCTACTTCCTGGAAAAGCAGCAACTCCACGGCTAAGTAGAGGTGCTGGGGAGGGGGCTGCGGGACGGACATGCCCTTCCTGAGCACTGCTCTGGGGAGATGGCTCACGGCGGGCAAACAGGCTGGACTCCTGAATCCCCTCATGAGGAGGGTGCACCTGTACAGACTGCAAACCCCCACCCCCAGTGACAAGTTCCTGCCTACGATACTGTGCCTGAGTGTGACTGCTTCGAGGCTTAGCAGAGAAGAGCTCCTCTGTTAACTGTGTTTTCGGAGTTTCCGGGTCACACTTAATTCCCAATATGCCTTAGTAGCACAGCAGTTAAGTGCTCGGCTGGACGGTTGGTGGTTTGAACCCACCTAGGGGGACTAAGGCCCGGTGATCTGCCATGGAGTTCTGTCAACACACACGGGATTGACATGCATTGGAGTCAGCTCAACCACATACAACACACACTTCCCTGCCCTCTTTATGGGTCTGCTAAACATAAGGTTGGTGACTGGAGCCCACCAGCCGCTCTGCAGGAGAAGGGTGAGGCTAAGCCCCTAAAGACGTATGTTCTCGGAGACCCTCTACAGGGCTGATATGGCAGCGGTGGGCTTGCTGTTGACCCTTGAATGGCCTGGTAGACTGTGGCCAGCTAAACCATAGGTTACAATGTTTGGTGGAGTTCATTTATTTGCGGCGCACATTAAAATCTCTGGCTAGGAAATGAGGAAGGAAATAAAGAATGATTTTTCCATTTGTGGATATTAAGTCCCTTTGAGAAGCCCCTTCAGCTTGTATCATATAACACAAAGAATGCTCAGAGGAAACTGCTTATAAACATGGTGGGTTTATTATTCCAGGGAGAGAACAGGGTGTTTTAAATTCACTGATTTAACAGACACACCAGCCTGCTTCCAGTCCAGCCCTGCCACATGGGCACTGGCATTCTCTATTTGAAGAATCAACAGACTTCAGAATTTTCAATATGGGAATTAGTGTGTGGACTTGAGAAATCAGAGATAGGTTTTAGCCTTGTTGTTGTTATGTGCCGTGGAGTTGGTTCTGACCCATAGCCACCCTGTACAGGGTTTCCGAGGCTGTAAATCTTTATGGGAGCAGAAAGCCTCATCTTTCTCCTGCGGAACAGCTGGTAGTTTCCAACTGCTGACCTTAAGGTTTGCAGCCTGATTCGTAACCACTATGCTACCAGAGCTCCTAGGTTTTAGCCTACAGACAATATTTTTTCCCCTACCTTGTTCCTAACAGGGTTTTAAACAAACGTAAGTGGTTTTAGAATTAGAAATACACAAACCTAGCTTTGTGTGGTGAGAAAAGAGTGAAATCACGTTTACCAATAATGAACAACCGGCAGTGGATATTCTTGTTCGTTCCCCAGATTGTAAGCTGGTAGCGTGAGGGTGCGCATGTGATCTAACATGCGGGTGTGCGTGTGATCCAACATGCGGGTGTGCGTGTGATCCAACATGCGGGTGTGTGTGTGATCCAACATGCGGGTGTGTGTGTGATCCAACATGTGGGTGTGTGTGATCTAACATCAGGGTGTGCATGTGATCTAACATGCAGGTGTGTGTGTGTGATCCAACATGCGGGTGTGTGTGTGATCCAACATGCGGGTGTGTGTGTGATCTAACAGCCTGCCTGAGGACATGGCCATTACTTGGCTTCTGCCTTGTCCTTCAGCCAAAGGACAGAACACACTTCAGGTACAGCTCTGCCTCCCAATAGTTAACAAGTCTACTCGCTTTGATAAAGGAGCCCTGGTAGCACAGTGGGTTACGAGTTGGGCTGCTAACCACAGAGTCAGAAGTTCAAATCCACCTGGCGCTCCTTGGGAGAACGATGACGTTTTATGCTCCCGTAAACATTTACTGCCTTGGAAACCTTATACAGGGTTGCTGAGTCAGAATCAACTCGACAGCAATTAACAACAAGCCTGTGGTATGGAGTACAGGTGTGGCACTATAGGATAAGTCCTGGACGGCTAACAGTAAGATCGGCAGTTCAAAGCCACCAGTTGCTCTTCAGAAATCCTCCACAGGGTTATTATGAGTCAGACCGTAACTACAACGAGACCATACTGGTCAGAGCCCTGGTGTGGCAGTGTGTTAAGCGCTCAGGTGCTAATACAAGGCTAGTGGTTTAAATCCACTAGCTGCACACCCTCAGAAGTCCTATGGACAGTCTGCTCTGTCTTGTAGGGTCGCTGTGACTGGACACTGACCAGAAGGCAGTGGGGATACCTGCAGTTATAACCCCATTTGGGAATGCACTGTCTTTGATGTGACCCAGGCGGGACTAGCCTGGGGTGTGCTTTAGATCAATCCCTTTTGAGACATGACCGAGATCAAACAGACAAGGGGCAAGAAGAGAGACTGCATGGTGCATGACGATGGCCCCAGGGCAGAGGCTCAGAACAGACAAGGTGCCTCCTCCACAGCCCACACAGAGAAGGCCTTCCCCCACAAGCCAGCAGCCAGATTTCACACTTCTAGTCTGCTTAAGCCAGTCGCTTGGTAGTATTTGTTCTTTAGAAACACATTTTCCAAAGCGCTCTCGAGACTGCCCTGAGGGTCAGACAAGTCTACTTCTCTTGGGGGTCTTGGGGATCACAAGAGGGTGAAATGGTCCCAGTAGTTTTACAGCAAAGAATGTTGAGTGTGTGGTCCCCCAATTCACTGGACCACACAACCTGCCCACCCATCAATCCCCCATGGAATTTACACTGCATTGCTTTGGAACAGCCAGGATTTTGCAGCATCTGAAACTGTGACGTTTTGGTTTAGCACGCCGTAGTCGGAGCATGTCAATGACAGGCTGTGAAATTAATAAACTCCCAGCTGCTTTGGGTCTTAGGGATTATTTAGTAGCCTTGGATGAAATAATTTAAGTTCTGAAGTGAGCTAAGCGCATGCACCATTTAAATGGCTTATGAGATGCAACCCAAAGCAAATCTTCTGAAAGATGATCTGGCTTTACCAGGGTGGCCTACTGCTGTGTTGTTGAAAAGTACGTCACTGGTGTTCCAAATTCCAGAATCATCCATGGTGGGCAGACTTCAGCAGAACATCTGGGCTAAGAGACGAGGAAGAAAGGCTTGGCTGTCTACCTCCAAAAGTGACCAATGACAGAATGCCCTGTGACTAATAACAGATGGGGTTGCTCTGACATGCCACCAGGAGATGACTCAGCAAAGGAGGACGATGGAGCATCGGGCAGTCCCACATCTGTGGGTTTGTGCGTGCCTGTCTTGTGCTCTGTCGTATGTCCCTGTGCTGGACAGTCTTCATTGGCCCATGTGCTCAGGACCGAGCAGTGTGACTAGAGGTCACCGCAGAGGAGTGAGGTCATGGGAAGGCTGCGGCTGTTTTGGGTAACTTGCTCTGGGGGATGCCATGTGCCCTGTGGGTCAGAGCCAGTGTCTGGGCTACAGGGTCAGCCCGGACCCCCTTCTGATTCCTGAAGTC